GAGAACATAAAGAGCAGTGCTACACCCTTTTTTCACTTGTGCCTTTCAGGTGAACGACAGCCACTGACCGACAAGAACAAAACCGACCCGGGAAACTTGGGCAAAAGCCTCGATCCTGTGTATCAATCCGTGAAAATCCGTGAAATCCATGAAGGGCATGACGGGCAATCATTGACCGTTAAATGATTCTACCGTGCCTAATCGTAGCCTCATATTCCACATAGATACTGACCTGGTGTTCAATATCAGCAGCAAATATAATCGGCATCGTGCATGCCATGAGTAACTTGGGTCGTCTTGGCCATTGGGTTGTTACCAGGATTAATGCAGGTCTCATACTCACAGTCGAGCATACATATGCACATCGTAGATACGATAGGTAGCCAAGATAATCGAAAGCGCGTGTGGTTATCATGCTGACCGGCAATGGACGACCACGTTTTCCGTCAACGTGGATGGACGTTTTTTGTCGAACTATAGCTAATCAGCTTGACTATTTTCACTGAGACGGATATCGTCTTGCCCGTAATTTTCGTCTAGATTTCTCATGACTCTGCATAAACTGCTGGCTAATTGTGCATATCTGAGAATGGATACCATAGAGGTGCATACTCACATCAATACCACGCCATGTGTCGAATTCACCTCCATCATTTTCCTGAACAAAGGGCGAGCTTCCCAAAAATCTGTGTTGTATCGAAGTCCGCTGAACACATCCGCCTAATTGGTCACGTTTGAGGGTTACCAAGCATGCAAAAGTTATTCAACTATCCTCCTGGAATTTGTGTTGTTCATTCTGTGGATGATATCCAACTGCGGAAATAAGAAACATGCTAGAGTTGGGTGCTTTACTTTATTTGGTAAACCGGTAATGAGACGCCAAACGGTTGTGGTAGACGAAAATAGAATTTCGCTCACTTAAATAAAATGATATGAACAATGTATCACTGAAACGCGCAAAAATAGATTAAATTAACTCCTTGTCAGATTCAAAACCTCCATAGTTTTGGCTAGAATATTTTTCGGTTTACCTCTAGTGAACGGCCGGTCCAGCTTGATTTGTTTCCTCCGTGATAGGAAAAACCCCAGCGACAGAGCATCTCTGCCATCAATGCCGGCTGCATTTGCATCTTGCGGGTTTAGGCGTGACTATATCTGGGAACTACAAAGCCCACTTCTTGTGTGGCTGCCCTGTTTCCGGGCGTTTCCGAATAGCCGAAAACCAGTCATGCTTTTATTTCGACTGTACCATTATAATCATTGATGCTGTTACGCCACTCACCGACCGGGAAGAGACACTTTTAATAAGATTCTCGGATCCCTTCACGGGCTCAAAACTACGAGGATTCCAGTCAACCATATATCGATGTGATATTGAACGATGCGTGGCACTTGGGTTGGACAAGCACCTCAATAAGTGGGGACCCGAGTCACCGCAACTTTATCAAGCTTCAGACACTCAATATTACTAGATCGAAAAATCTGACATGACGCATCCAACGCGCAGAGACCCGAACAAACCTGAGGGTCACACCAGATGTGCGTAGTCCTAAGCAGTTCCATAGATGGCGGTGAGAACAATACTTGAATTGAGATAGGGGCATAAAGCCGTCGGAAAATCGAGGAATGAGCCTACCTGATTAGCACAAAGCAGGAGAAATTGGTTGAACATATGCTTCAAAAATCTTGTGGGTGTGTATCATGCAAATATAGGAAAACGGTTATTACAGGCAGTGAACTGAAGTCACGCGGGAGTTAGTACCGTTTTTATCGGTCTATTTTCTTTCCATAAGGCAACTAACTTATCTCCTTATGTTCCGCTAACGACAGTACGATGATAGAGCGCGTGGTATGATGCTGTGTTGGTAGCCTTCGGTGAGCCAATAAAATGTTATTCTAATCCCCGGATATCTCCTTATCCAATATCTCCTACAAGTAGCAACAGTTAATCGTCCGTTTTGTGCATGCCCGACAAAACGTGTGAATAAATTTCTGTAGCCGCCTATCCTGTCATTGTGACGCTCGGAATAACTGTGCATTTAACACGTAGATCGGATAGAAGATGCATGGCAATGAAAACACAAAAAAGGCAGAACACACCAGTCTACTTCCGTATCAAAAAAACTCGAGCCAACCTCAGATTGATTTGAGTCTTTCGCGGGGCAAGTTGCTGGCCAAAAACAAAGCCCACTAGCCGCACAATACTCTTAACAGCAAAACCTTTGCAATCGGGGTAAAAATTTTGTGCCTATATATTGTGTTTTGTTGCGTATGTGCTGAAACCAAAGCCGATTTTCATCTACATCCATGTTTTGCTGTTCACCAAATTTTATTTTCTAGTGGGGCAATCATACCTTTTGCGGAAACGTCTGATGGAATAAGTCTCCAGCACCGTAAGGACCCCGGGGAACTTGAGCGAGGCTCAAAAGTTTAAACTGGTACTCTGAACCCAATTGCCCGATCACTTTAGTCAATCGGAATTTCCATTTCATTGTGCAAATACCGAGATTCTCAAAGAACCTCTACAAATGAACGAAGTTCGAATGAATGGAATTGCGCACACTAATCCCTAATACAAGCATAATCCCATTGAAACCGCGACAGCCATTGGTCACATACAAATGATTCTTTTAACTTCAGTCAGTATAGTATAGATCAGGCTGCATGGCGTGTCGGCTGCCGCTGGCTATTCGCACAATGAGATTGATTTCTCGAAATCTACGGCATTTTCAGACCTGCCACTTCATAGTGTAGAATGTCTACGTATAATGTATATGCTCCTGTATTATTGAAAATCCTTTACTGTGGCGATTTGTTTAAGTGAACTAAATCCCCAGGTGAATAAACACCGCCAACTTTGAATACCTTACCGGATGATAAAAAATCGCTGATTGTGGAAAAGGTTGATCCACATACAATGAACGTAACTTTCAGGTATTCTTCCACCGAAACAGAGTTCCTCAACATTCTAGAATTCAATGGCCTTTGGAGATGCGAACTATGCATAGGCGCATTCGTGCAAACAAATTTTGGCCGATGATTTATGTTGCCGGTAATAATTCCGTGGTGCACGCTAATTACTTGGTAAACTTCGTGCACCTTGACTGGCAAATTACAGAGTTTTTCATTATAGGTTCCGAATTATGCTAGAAAGTCCTCCGGGTTCATCGATCAAAACCGACGCGCACCACTAGCATGCGGCTAGGGGTACGCGATACCTAACTAACTAGCCACATAGAGCCTACGTCGATAATACCAGACAGCTGAACGATCTTAACCCACTCACATCACTAGCATGCGGCTAGGGGTACACGATACCTAACTAACTAGCCGCATAGGGCCTCCGTCGATAATACCAGACAGCTGAACGATCTTAACCGACTCACACCACTAGCATGCGGCTAGGGATACTGTGCGTGTATGCCCATTTTCGGGTGATGTACAACCGGCGAGCCGTAAGACAGGAGAGAAACCGTGGGTCGGTTCGGCGCAGAAGCTGTAGATCTTGTCGTAATCTGCGTGCTTGTAATATGATGAACATAAAACCTACTGTACAGCATTGTCCAGGCGAGCCATGCGGTGAAATATGTGCCGGCTGTTCGCAGAATGTGTCTGTGACCATAAATACATGGATATTAAATGATACATACGTGCTTCCTGATGGCTTTGCGGACGTGAAAGTAGCAAAGCATAATGTCACAGCCGAACACTACTCTTGCCGCACGCATTTGCGCCGCCAACTTGTCCATTACGAAGGTCCTGACCGGATACGCTTCGCCCATCATTTCTTTGAACAAGCCGAACAGTTTACGCATGGGAGCAAACTGCTCGCTCTCTACGAACGCATACATAACCGGACGCCCGGTTCCCATGCCGTCCGTTATCAAGAATGTGTATAGTTTATATCTAAATACCGAATATTAGATGCTTTAAAAAAACTTACCCAAGGCGGTTTGTTGCATGTGTCCCGTCCACATTCACTACGTCGGGAAAGCGTCGGAATAACGCTATCTGCTGCCATCGGGAGAAACATATGTGGCTATAGTGACCTTCCTCTCCCTGACACACAAGAACGCGTCCGGTCTCCCGAAGTTTTGCCAGGACCGAAGGCATATCATCTGCTACATTAAAACCCAACCATTAGGCACCTACTCAACATAGCCGGTCGACACTTCCGGCGGTAGTTGTGTATATCCTTAGTTGTAAGAATCTTTCCGAATTCATCCGCCACAAACTGCCGCACCTCAGATGACGGCGTTCCATATCTCAGCAGGGCCTGGCATGTGCCCAACTCGTCTTCGGTTAAGCGTCGATTGACTGGAAGCCGATCGTAAAGAAACTTTGACAGTTTGTGGTTGTGTTCCAGAAAATAAGACGTCACTGCCAGTTGGTTCCTTTGCCTCCGTAGACAAAACCGCACTGGGCAGCTGGTGCTTCGCGTACTTTTTTTATTAGAAATTACGCTCGGCTTACTAGCTTCTTCGGATTCCACGGCTTTCCGTTTTTCTTGGAGGGCGCCTGCTGCATTTGTAGTACACCCATTCGTAACGCAAAATAGTGTTGGTGCTTCGATTACTGGATGAACGCACAAATATCACAAAGTTATCCTTCATGTATTGATTTAAGGTCTTCTCAAATGCCGTGAAGGATGAAAACGATACACCCACAAATTTCTCAACGAAAGCCACTTCCGAAGCCATAGCAGACGAAGTTCAAAGCCGAATGTGCGCCAATACCGAATGTGCGCCAATAATTTTCAAATGTCATCGATTAAAACAAATCGCAAAAAAATAACGGCAGATGAGGGGGGTTTTCAGTCTACGCATATATGCAAAGAAGTGCAACATTTTGACGTTAAAGTTTTTATTTCGTCCGCAGGCGTTTTGCAGAAAAATACATTGTGCGTCTAGCCGCTGGCCGTAGCCATAGCAGACGGAGTTCAAAGCTGAATGTGCGCCAATAATTTTCAAATGACATCCATTAAAACAAATCGCGAAAAAATGAGGGCAGATGAGAGGGGTTTTCAGTCTCCGCATATATGCAAAGAAGTGCAACATTTTGACGTTGAAGTTTTTATTTCCGCTGCAGGGGGCTTGCAGGAAAATACACTGTGCTTCTCGCCTGGCAGCTATAGGCCTATAAGCCTCACTAGCAAGGTGATGGAACGCATTCTGAAGCGAGACATCCTAGATCACCTTACTTCCAGCAATCTGATATCTCCAGCTCAACACGGATTTCTCCCAAACCGTTCTTGCGTAACAAACATGCTCGTGTTTATGGACAGCTTAACCCAAGCCAAGGACGAAGGACTCATATCGGATGCCATATTTTTCGACTTCTCAAAAGCATTTGATAGGGACCCACACGTCCCGCTGCTCCACAAACACGAGTCTTACGGGATTCAAGGGAAAATCCATCGCTGGATCAAGGCGTTCCTATCAGACAGGTCATTCCGAGTGAGAATAGGCTCAACCTATTCCTCTCCAGCGCCGGTCTCCATTGGAGTTCCTCAAGGCTCCGTCTTGGGACCACTCCTGTTTCTGATCTACGTCAACGACATCCCAGACGTTCTTGCGAGTCCATGTCTACTTTATGCGGACGACTTGAAATCCTGGA